CAACCTTTTCCAACAAAAATTTCATCTTTGTAGAAATATGTTCAATCAAATAATTTTTTATGCATCTAAATGACGATATTGAAGCATTCATTGACATCCCATGCCAGTTGTCGCTGCCAATAAAACCAATCAACCTTTCTGAAGTTAAAACAGAAATATCGAAACTAAAACATCATAAAGCCCCGGGATACGATCTAATCACCAGCCAAATCTTAAAAAAGTTGCCACACAAAGCTCTTGTCCTCCTAACGACTATCTTCAATCGAATACTAAGCCTCTGCTACTTTCCTACTGCATGGAAATACGCTGAAATCATCATGGTGCACAAACCCGGTAAACCTCCACATGAAACATCTTCATTCAGACCTATTAGCCTGCTGCCTATCCCGTCTAAGCTAATTGAGAAACTAATACTTAAACGAATTCAATCAGACCAAGACCTAACAACCTTACTGCCTGATTATCAGTTTGGTTTTCGAGAAAGTATGTCAACACTCCACCAAGTCCACCGCATAGTGAATCAGATATCCAAGAGTTTAGAAGAAAAACTATACTGCAATGGGGTCTTTTTGGATGTCTCTCAAGCATTTGATAAAGTTTGGCACATAGGTCTTCTCTACAAGCTCAAAAATGTGGTTAGTAGCAACTATTACCTTCTCCTGAAATCTTACCTCACTGATAGGAACTTCTCTGTTAAACTCAATGGCTCTATCTCTCCCCACTATCCTATACATTCTGGGGTCCCTCAGGGAAGTGCGCTCGGCCCGCTCCTTTACCTATTATATACTGCCGACCTACCCGTCTTGCATAACATAACCGTTGCGGCATTTGCGGATGACGTTGCTATTCTCTCCTCTGACCACGATCCGGTTACCTCCTCCGTAAACATGCAATCCCAACTCGACATGCTCAGTGAATGGTATTCCAAATGGCGAATCAAGATTAATCAAGCCAAATCAGTTCAAGTCACTTTTACCCAACGCAGAGAAATCTGTCCGGCCGTATCAATCAACGGTTCTCCCATACCTGTAAACACTGTAGTAAAATACTTAGGACTCCATTTAGACCAACGACTGACGTGGCAGAAACACATCCAAACGAAAAGGAAGCAGTTGGATCACAAAATCAAACAAATGTACTGGCTCATGGGACGTAAATCTAAACATTCTCTCAGAAATAAACTCCTGCTGTACAAAACCATGGTGAAACCCATCTGGTCTTACGGTATCCAGCTTTGGGGCTGTGCCAAACCCACTCGTTTAAAACCAATCCAAAACAAAACACTCCGAGCAATCGTTAACGCTCCATGGTACGTTAGCAACTTCATACTCCATCAAGACCTCCAAATTCCATATGTCACGGACGTAATCACCACTGTCTCTGCCGCCTACCAACAACGAGTTACAGGTAATCCAAACGTCCTCATAGAAATCCTCTACAGGGATGGACCACCCATCAGAAGATTAAACAAAACCTGGCCTGCTGACCTACCCCCCTAACACTAAGTGATAGTGAACTATAAGGTGAATTGTCAGTGGACACTTCCCCTTCCAAGTCAAAGTCATATATCACATTTACTTAATACTCTAAATGAAGTAGATTGTAAATTTGCAATAAAGATAAAAAAAAAAAAAAAAAAAATCTTGCGTGGGTGGTAGACTTGTGATAGCAACGCTTCCATCTCAGTGGACTATTACCATACTTCATTTTTAGGTATACTTAATTACTGTACAAACTTTCATTCTTGTAGAAATGAGGTATGTAGGTACAGTTTCTGACTTATTAAATGTCCCTCGAATGCCTCATACCTGTCACATAGGCAACCAACATTACATACTTAATTCATTCGTTTGACTTCGGTTTTTAAGTGGAAGGGATGCCGTTATTTGTAATTTATCCGCACACCTTTCTGCGAAAACGGGGAGCAAAATATTCGATTTACCTGCTAGAGAACTTACGCACAGGTAACCTCGCTTCATGGCATATTTATCAAATTGGCGCGTCTAAAATTAGAAAAAGGCGATTCATTTGACAAATACCTATTAAAAACAAAATCTTGTTGCAATATGCGACAATAATAACCCCCCCGCCGTATTTTAATTCAATTCTTCCAAGTACAATTTTTGAATTAATTAATCAAAATTGTAATGTCTAATTGTTCAACAATCCTACTTTTAATTTTTATGGGGAGAACATATACAGCTCTCTGCGTCTCAAAGCAGTCGGGATAAGATAACATATTTAACCAATTCAACCTTGGGTCTCTTTTCAGGATTGCTTGAAAACAGGTTTATTAATTACTTAGTAATTAACGGTTACCTACTCATGTTATAATAGCCGTAGAGGTATTGTAAGATTACTATATAAATGCGGGTGGAAAAATTTTCGATTATTCGCAAGTCTGTAACCTTCTCATGGAACATTTATTTCAATTGGCACATCTAAAATTGGGAAGGGTAATTTACTTCAACTTGATTAAAAAATTAATTTTTTTCAGTTCAATTTTTCGAGCGTTAATGTTAAATTAATTAACTAATTCTTAAATTCACAAAGTTGCTTAAAAATAATATTTTTTACTTATACTGCGAACATAACTTGTGTCCTTCCTTGGAAAATAAACTTTTAAAATAAGTAAATTCTAACTTTATCTAACGAAACACGATGGATTAATGCGAATTAATGATTTGAGGTCTATACCTTCAATCAGTTGCAATCAAGATATAATGAACTAATAAAAGAAAAAGAACTGCTGGAGAAAGTCCTAAAGGACATTAATTAAAATTTGAGCACTCATTCAATATAGCAATATGCAATTCCTGAATCATATCTTCAGATTGGTTTCATCGGGACCTTATCAAAGTTGTTACCTGAATTCCACCAAAACTCCAACTAAGGATTACAGAACTGACCCCGCATGTTAAAACAATTTCCGAAATCAAAAACCTAAGTAATTAGATTTTTATGGAAACCAAAACAATTCTTTCCAATTAGAAGGCATTTCAATTTTGTTAGGTTAATCAGATAGAGAAAGCGATTTATAGGAACCCAGAAGAAAAATGAGGTAAATCATTTATAATGACTTTTTCGGTCAGGAAATACATAATTTGTAATGTGCCAACATATTTATACTTACTAAAAAACCTTTTTTCCAATATTGCATAGTAAGTGACGATTTACGAAACTAGCAAAGTAGATTAAAACTGCCTTGGTTACCATTTCGGTTGACTTGACACTAAGACTATACCTACCTATATAGATTAAATTAAAAAAAAATATGTTTAATTACATCGATGAGACAACATTACGAATTCTTTTATCAGGTAGAAACTTCAAAATATTGGATGGAACGTTGTATGGCATACGTGAGTAAGGCTCTAAAATAATCTACTGATACAATAAAATACTAAAAATCAGAGTTTATTTATTTTACATAAGATCGCTTAATCGCTCCCTCAACATTTAAAAACAATGTGTAGGTAACTGTTAATTACTAAGTAATAAATAAACCTGTTTTGACGCAACCCTGCAAGGAATGTTGCCGAAATTGAAATGGTTAAATAGGTTATTAATGTTCTTATCTTATCCCAACTGCTTTGAGACGTAAGGAACTGTATAAATCCGCCATATGAAAATAAGCGCTTTTTTGTATTAACTATGCATTACAAATTTGGCAAATTAAAATCTGTAACTTAGGAGAATTGAATTAAAAGACGGCGGACGGTTTACTATTGTGACATATTGGAACAAGAGTTTATTTTTTGTCAAATGAATCACATTTCCTAATTTTAGACGTGTCAATTTTGATAAATATGCCATGAAGCGAGGTTACATATGCGTAAGTTCCCTAGCAGGTAAATCGAAGATTTTGTAGCCCGCTTTCGCAAAAAGGTGTGCGGAATTACAACTAACGGCATCCCTTCCACTTAAAAACCGAAGTCAAACGAATTAATAAGTAAATGGAATGTTGGTTGCCTATGTGACAGGTATGAGGCATTCGAGGAACATTTTTAATAAGTCAGAAACTGTAGGTACATATTATTTATTAACATGTTCAGAACATTGTTGCAAATTTAGGCAACACCACCGATGCGGTAGACTACCGTTTTGTTTACTTGTACTATCAAAACAATAAAATGGCAGAATATCAGCTTTGTAGAAATGAGTGGACAAAAAATGTCGCTCTCAAAAATTTTTACTTTTGAGCCCTGTTACCTAAGCGCTGACTCCGTTGACTTGAATGTCAAAAAGTTTTCCTAAATCAACAATCTTGATTTGATACTACATGAGAATTATTTTACAATTGCTAAAGCATCATTTTGTTTACCTAAAAATTGAGAAAATCAAATTGAAACAAATGGTAACAAACAATCGATTGGCGAAGGTTCGTGATCGCTGTCTCTTTTCGTTCGCGATTAGACGAGCAAGAGACAGACATACGGACGGATAAAATCATCACTTTAAGGAATTTTCCAAAGAATTGCCCTGAAAATCGAACGTCTGCACTATAAATTCTGTTTTGCTATACTATACGCTGTCTCAGGATATCTACACGTCATGATACACAAATTGTGCAGACTCCCGTTTCTAATCCATAAGAGAGAACACATAAAACTATGACTTGCACGAAATGACGCGTATTTTGTTACAAATCCTGTAAGTTTGTGACAGCTGGTGAGAGACATGAACAATTTTTGAATATAAACTGCCACTAGCTAAATGATTTTGTTTCTCTATCTATCTCTAAAGTGAAACCATTTCCTCCATAATCCAAATTTCAATTTGGTATTTTATTATTCTGCAAAAGTAGGTATAAAGCAAGAGTAGGTACAACCTATGCGGAATGTTGTAATATCGTATCATATAAATCCCGAATCAAACAAAATGGGCGAGGTTATTTCGGAATAGGTATATAAGCGATGAAACTTATTGAATATTCTAAACGTAACTTCTAAATTTGTCAGGTAACATCTACGAAACTACCACGGGAATAAATGACTGACCTTAGGGTGCCAGATGTGGAAAATGCCAGGATCGGTAGCGCGTATCACTTTCATATGGCTCCGCACGTACTTGCGGTATAGCATAACGTCTTCGCCACCCCATCCGACAATTTCTTCGTCGAACCCGCGAACACGCAAAAAATCCGACCTGAAACAAAAAAAAATTAAGGCTGTAAGATAAATTTACTTATAACCATATATCAAAATATATAAGGCAGAAAATTGCGGGTTCATTATTATTTATGTACCAGTTTATTAGTTTCTCTATAAATACGTTGTAAATGGGGTGTATATCAGTGAAAGTAACACTTTAATAATTTTATCAGTTAATTTATTGCCTTATACTATGCATAAAATATGCCGTAAGTCGATATTTTTTCCTTAATTTTAACACGATTAGCGCTATACTTTTTTTTAATTCAGACGGGAATTTATTATCCTTTTCACTAATGTTATGCACACAATTTTCTGAATTTACTGACCGCAACTGTGAAAAATATAATACAATACAGAACAAAACATTCACCTTTATAAAAAGAAACTGATTTTTTACAGCCATTCAACAGCTCCAGAAAGCACTCTTAAGGTGCAGATACACTAGCAAGTTACTTGCGACAATCTCGCGCGAGAAAGTTCCACATGTATTTACACTGTGAGCAATAAGTGTCGCGATAAACTGCCGGGCCAGTTGGGTGAGCAATTGTGTTTACACTAGCACCTCTTTTCACTTCCGCAAATGCGGCGTTTTAGCGCCAATAAGACATCGGTGTGTTTTCGCGGCTGTAGTAGCTTTATGCAATAATGTGAAACACAAAAGAAGTGTTGGGTGAGAGAGTGTATCTCCAGAAGAGAAAAGTATGGGGCCTACCATAAATTAATTATTTGATTTGAGGTTGATACCTGAGAATCGGAGAATCAATCCCAACAATTTAAACATTTTATTCGTATGTCAACGGTAGACCTTGAGGAAGTATTATAATAAGTGGGTAGCAAAATTAAAAAGCAGGATACTCATTCACGTACGTGGCACAATATAAATAAACTCGCACGTTTACTTGCCGAAATATCGAAACGAAATGGAGAGTTTGCGAGAACTTGGTGAGCTGCCCTTTTGCCTGTTTAGACTGCCGAGAAAAGTGTCGCAAGAATTCTTCCGCGAGTTCTGTCAAATGCTATTTACACTTGCGACAATAGGTAGTGTCCCACAGCAAATCGCGCGAGTATTCTCGCTAGTCCAAAGGCACCAGTAGAAGCCTCTTCTATAACTAGATCACATGAAAACAGCTTACCTACTCGATACGGGTCAGCGAAAAAAGTAGGACGCATGTTTATTAGCGCTGGAGTGGTGATTAACATGCACTATAGCTACTGTAGTAGCTACTACCTTGTACAATTGTACATATTAAACAATGCTATTAGGTATAAATAGGACATCGTCGCATGTGCTTGCCCAATATATTTAATCCTCTAATTGTTACAGAATTATCAATTAATCAAGCAAAACTTAAACGGTATAACAAGCTACGAACATGTGAAACTGGTAGATCACCTGTTACATTATAACAAGTCAATATCATTGTGGCATTTGAGTTTCATTATATTATTGAAATTAATTACGTACGTCAAATTTCTAGTTAAATTACTTTTTTTGTCCGAATTTAATAGAGTACTATGGCGCCTATGAACTGAATCTGAAATGACGAATAAATGGACAAAATATTTTTTATAAAGATTACGGTTTTACAATTGCTTTGAAAATTAAGTCGATATTGGATATAGTAGGAAATATGGTACAGATTATTCGATTCAATATTTATCATAATTTTGGCCGTTGGTAAAATGAATATAAAGGATTACTGGAGTTCTATTTGCACGATCTACATGGTTCTAAATCGAGGTTACGCAGCTTAGGTTTAGTGGACCTTAATTCATTTTTCAAGGAATCTTTTGATTTAGTGTTATGGTGTCACCCTGTATTTGACCGAGTATGTATAATTTCACTTAGAACATTGAATAAAAAATTATATTCAATGCTTAGAATTTGTGAAGGCCAGTTCCCCCTCCGGGAAACGTCCGTTCCTTACTCTTTCCTTTAAGTTTGAGCCAGCGTTGCGGAAGGTTGTTATAAGAATTATGTGTGTTAAATTTATTATGCAAGAGAAAGGCATCACGCAAGAGAACATTCGCTAATACCGGCCGGCACACGTGTTCACTTCTCCTACGGCGAGTTCGTGATAAACAAGGCCACCAGCCGCAGCCACAGGCCACCAGATCAAAGACAAACCGCCACCAAATCGAAAGATGAACCGCCACCTCAGTAATTAGTCCAACAAGAAGCCGCTGAAAGGTTTGCGTAAGAAAGCTCCAAGCACGACGTCACTCTCCGTTCAACATCCTACCTTATTTGCATTTTCCTCCCAATAAACCCCCCCCCCCCCATATATTATTAAGTAAACTGTAGTATTAGTTATTTGGGTATTTTCGAGTTTATCCGTTTATGTAATAAATAGAATTTCATTGTTATTCTCTTTTAAATTTATGCAAGAGAAAGGTGAATTGTAACCGCGGCCCTTCAGACCCAGGATCTCATGACAGCCTGCTTCAATGCAGAATCTCACTAAATTTATTTTAAATTTTCCAAAGGTCTAAATTTTTCGGAACCCGGCTTTTTTTTAATTTCACGCTTCCACGTGAAGCCGGTTTCCTTAGGTAATTACTTTCGTAGCTCCAATAATCAATAGCGGTTCCACTTTATTTTTTTATTAAATAAAATATAAGTTTATATATTAAAACTTTGGAATATCTTGGGTTTCACCGCGTGCGACGTCTTCAAAAAGTGCACTAGGGAAGCCTCTCATGCAGTTCCGATGCCAGTAGGTTAGTTTTGTTATCACAAATGAATTCCCTGACCCCAAAAACATATGTCTAGACACCTTACACGACCCGGTGTGCCTTAGAAATATAATTCGATCAAAAGTCTGTCATTTTATAAAAATGGCGGCTTTTCACGGACTTCCTGTATCCGGATTACATTTTTGGCGCTACCATTGGATTCCTCGGGTTAAAATCATACGCAATCGACACCCAGATCTCGTCTCTAGGCCATATTTAGTTTTTAAAAAAATGTTACAATAAATCACACCCACCCCCTCTAAAATCTACCCACACGGAAAATGTCACGTGTTCTTCGGGCCAAATTGTCTAAATGGCTCTAAGGAACAGCTGTACCAAATGGCACCTTGGTATAAGAAAATGCAGTATCTTTTGGTATACCGCTAGTACTATAGATGTTGGCATTTCACACAACGAAACCAAGTGTATTCTATGTAGTTCCCTGCCCGGAAGCTCCCGGAACAAAACCAAGAAAAAAATGGAAAAATGCGGTTTTTTTCGCATTTGACTTCCAATTATCTCGTCAACTATTGCTCGAGCTCATAGAAATGAATTTGTTTAGAATCGAATTTTCAGTTGGTACAGAACCGTTCATTTTTAAATGTTATTGTTTTTTAACATTTGTTTTTGTTGATACGCCCTTCTCGATGCTTTGTCTTTCAAACTGGATGACTCCCAGAGCGTTTTCAATATTTTTATGGATGGTGGAACCGTAAAACAACCTATTCCAACAATTGTTGTCCCGATGAGTTTTGCAAATCGACGGACTGTGGAATTAGAATTAGTTTAGTGGAGACTCCAGAAATAGAACAAGAAAGTAACTTTATAATAGGCCCTTGGCACTCTGTTTAATAAAAATCATACCAACTGTATCTGATAGAAAAATCGATTCTAAACAAATCGTTCTCTTCATTTTTTCCGTAAGAGGAATAGTTAACGAGATACCTAATTAATTCAAATGCGAAAAAACGATATTTTCCCATTTTTCCTTCGCTTTCTTGTGTATAGCAATATGTTCCCGGAGTTTCCGGTCAGCTAAACTGTCATTTACGGATTCAGGGGATTTTTTTGCATATAATACACATGGTTTCGTTGAGTGAAGTGACAACACACTAAACCGGCAGACAGTAATAGATACAAAACTATAAACCATCTCGAGGATCGCTATTAAAACTTTGCTTTGTAACAATTTTCGTAGGTAATTGCACAAGTGCATCAAAATGCTCTTTTAACAAATTGTGAAGTGTAACTTCAGCGCATTTCCCATAAATTGATCAATACTTCCCCACACGCCATACCTATGTGCGCTACGTTTTTGATTACTAGACGCATATATGGTTGAAATTTTAAGAAATCTCTATATATAAAAATGAACCCCTGTTTTTTCTGGTCACGCAATAACTTTAGAACGACTTTACCGATTTCATTCATCTTTTTTTTTTAAGTTTTCTAATACTGTGTAGAAGGTTCTTATGGCAAGAAAAACTAACAAAATCGCGCAGAAAATTGGAAAATTGGAGAAAACTTATCGACTATTTAAACATCGCGCGTTTGACCGTGCGACGGCAATTGTTTTAACAGCTACAGCCATTGAATTTTACCTCCTCAAATGAGAGAGTTGGCACCGCGCATGCGCAAAACGAAATTTTGAAACGGTCGTTAAATTTGCATTTGTTCCAAGTGGCCGAGTGTCAGGTTTATTCAATGCTACAGCGATCGGCAATGGATCGGCATATCCGTCAAAAAATTAATTTATTCATATCATAGTGTGCTGTCAATTCGATCGGATAGTAGATTTCAGTGAGTTTTTTTAGCAGTTTCGAGGTTATTTTACCGCAATCACGCCTTTTATATTAAAAGTTTGATATACCTAATATCCATTTTTGGTAAGTGTTGAATGTTGATAGACTATAAAATAAATACGCGGTATACATAGTTATACAGAAATACTAGGGAGCCAATTTCTATTTTCAGTTGAATTTTAGTTTTTTCAAGATGCTACTAATTAGACGTACCAACATGGTACCAACTTAAGTCGTAGAATTCGTAATCCTACAAGTCAAACATATATACGAGTACTTAAGTCTAACTGGCGAGAAAAGCGAAACGCGAAACGAAGTTAACGGAATCGATATGAACAACACAGAAATGTCCCCTTTAATCCCTATCGAGTTAGCATTTAATTATAACGTAGCAATCGATTACAGTTTTCAGTAAATCGTTGCTATTAGACCAAAGGATTTTGTGTGTCCACAT